AAGGTCCATCCATGTTGTTGCAAATGGCAGTATTTCATTCGTTTTTATAGCTGAGTAGTAGGAAGTATAATCACACTTATGAAGTTAAAAATTGAACACATCATGGTGTAAATTCTTTCCAAATTGATCTAGAAATTTAATGTTACCCTGATGACAAACTGACACTTTTAACATTTATTTAGAAAGGTAAACACCTCAGAATGGCCAAAACATTATTAACCAAGTAGAGCAAATTTGGAAGGCTTACACTACCAGGTACCAAAACCTGTAAGGAAGATTTATAGCCCCAAAGTGTAAACAGCATAAAGTCCATTAAGCTGCCATGCATATGAGTTTGGCTCTTCTCTCATATCATGTGGATAGAGGTGTGGAATCACACTGTGCACTTGGGAATTTCAAGAGCACTGAGTTGGAATATAGGAGAAAGAAGCTTACCTTAGGGATGATGTAGTTTCTGAATTTAATGTCACAGGTCACCCCATGGGGAACGTTGATGGGGATAAGGTCAATGTATCTCTGGATCTCATGCACCACAGCATCTGTGTAGGGCATGTCACTCCTGTCCTGCATGCAGGGTCTCCGGTGTCTGCCAATCACTCGTTCAATCTCTTCCTGGATTTTAGCTGATAAGACACAAGGAAGAACTGATACAAAAGGAGAAAAATGGCACATTTGTTGTAGTAATTCAAGGATACATAAAACATTACAAAGGTATCCTAACAGCATTATGCACATTAGTGATATGAACAGAAGTACACTTAAACTTAGAGAAATTATTGCTATAATTCAAAAGCATATATTTGTGCCATAAGCTAAGCATAAAGATTAATCTGTTCATACAAATATAATAGCATATATGATAAGTAATATCAATCAAAATGATGAAATGTTTGCATATATAAAGTTAGCATATAATTAGGTAAAATAATTACTATCTTGCTGAAAGAGAAGCAGGAATCATATTAATTTTGTATCAAAAACATTTATTGTGATTAAAAATTAAATTCTGCTAGTGGATCTATGTGTATGTATGTGTTTGTGTGTTTTCTGTGTCTCTGTGTGTGCACTTTGCAATGGTACTCTTTTCATGTTCCCGCTTCCCAAATGTGTCCACTTTGAGCACTCTAGTAACTTCTGAATAATACAC